GTACGGCCGCGGCCGTGCAGCACCACCAGAACCAGCAGAGGGACCTCCAGCACCTCTAGCTCCAAGGTCTCCAGCTCCAACTCCCGCAGCACCACTAGCTCCAGCACCAGCAGCACCACTAGCAGAAACAACTCCATCGCCTCCAGCTCCAACTCCTGCAGCACCACTAGCTCCAGCACCCCCTGCAGCACCACTAGCGCCAGCAGGAACAGCTCCAGTAGCGCCGGCTCCAACACCAGCAGAACCACCAGCTCCAGAGGCTCCAGTGCCTCCAGCAGCAGCAGCTCCAGCACCCCCTGCTCCAGGGCCACCCGCGACAGGTTCCTCAGCCGCAGCAGCTCTGCCCTGACGCCTCCAGCGGCGAGCAAACCACTCACGTAGCTGCTGAGGAGAGAGAGGCTCCCGCCGAGACGAGGGCCCTGCAGGACCTCCAGCAGACCCAGCACCCCCCGTCTCAGCAACCGCAGGCTCGACACCCCCAGGCTCAGCACCCCCAGACTCCACACGCTCAGGCTCAGCACCCCTAGGCGCCGTACCCCCAGACTCAGCACCCCCAGGCGCAGCACCCCCAGGCTCCGCACGCGCAGGCTCAGCACCCCCAGCAGCACCAGAGTCAACCGCTACCTCGACAGGCTCGACATCGTCTACCTGAGACACACCTGAGGGAGCAGGACCCTCAGGGGGGAGGGGGTCTACCGGGGGAGGACCTGGTGCAAGGAAGAGCGGCGGAGGGGGGAGAGGGGCAGCGCGGTAGGGGAAGAGATGGTAAAAGGGAACCGACTCGTCAAACGTGACGTCCTGAGAGGGCAGGACTCGGCGCGAGGCGGGGTGGTAAAACTGCCAGCCAGGCGCGTCAGGGACAAAGCCAAGAAAAGATGCAGGGAACAGCACGGGCGGAGAGCTTGTCCGCGGTGGTATCGCGGACAAAGGCACGAGAACCCCAGACCCGGAACACCGACGCGTCGCCAACCTTCCCCGTCCACCGCAGTGTGGGCGAGGTCTCAGGCAAGGAGACACGGGGCCAGAGGTTGAGCTGATGCGCAGCGTAGCGGACCGAAAACGGCCACAGAAAATGGGGGGCAGCCGCATGGACCATGGAGGTACGAGCGACCTCCATGACCAAGCCAATGCGGCGCTCAGCAACCCCATTTTGCTGCGGAGAGGCCGGAGCGTGAACGTCTGGCGAATGCCCTCCCCACGACAAAAGCTCTGCAGCAGGTCAGAGGAAAACTCTCCACCTCTGTCAGAGTGCAGACGCAGGACGGGAAACTCCGTCCCGAACCGCTCGCGGAGCTGGAGACGGGCAGCGCGGATCCAAGGGATCAAAACATCAGGGACCTCACCCTTGGTGCGCAAGGGGAAGACCGTGGTGTAGCGCGAGTAGTCGTCAACAACCAGCAGGAAGTACCGCTCGCGGTCCTGCCCACGGACGCGGGCTGGGCCCCACACATCCATGTGCAGGGTCTGCAGGGGAGCAGTCGTCGGGGGGAACGAGGAGGAGTGAGGAGCAGCGCGCTGCCGCCCCTCGACACAGGGAAGGCAGGGAGGGGCAGGAGAGGGTGGGAGAGGAGGCAGAGTCTCCGGAAGGCCAGAGACGAGGAGACTGCGGTGCACGGCCCGAAGGCGCTGCACCGAGGGGTGACCAAGACGGTGGTGCCAGAGAAGGGTCCGGTGCGACAGAGCCCGACACAAGCAGGGGGCAGCTAGTTGACCAGACGCGGACGCAGACGCAGCTACCTGGGGGGACGCAGTAGTCAGTGTGTAGAGGTTCGAGCCAGGCGCACGGGTGAACGTGGCCAGGTGTCGACCAGTCCGGGAGCAAGTGCAGTGGGTCACCCGCTGACCTCCAGGAGTGAACTGGTCAACCCACACATCCTGGAGATCAGCGCCACTCACCAAGTTCGTAGAGAACGAGGGGAGGTGGAGACCTGACAGTGAGCTAGACGGGACTGCCGGACACGGTAGAACCGTGGAAGAGTGCGCAAGGACTGGGCCCCCAGAGGGGTCCGCCAGGGAGACTGCAACCGGCCGACTGAGCGGCGTGAGAGTGGTGCAGTCACGAAAGAAGGAGTGGGAAGCACCTGAGTCAAGTGTGAAGGTGTGCAAGGCCTCAGCGGGCGCAGTACCTGAGAGAGCAAACTCACCAGCACCTGGAGCAGCTGACCCACTAGCACCTGGAGCGGCAGACTCACTAGCACCTAGAGCAGCAGCCTCAATGCCCGAGTCAGGCGGAACACACAGGTAACAGTCACCCTCAGCACTAATAGTCACATCATACATGGCAGCAAGGATAGCATCATAGTCAAGAGCAAAGATATCAACATTCTGCCTAAGAAGATCAGCCCAGCGAGGGAGCTCAGTGGCGTCAGGAAACTGTGTGCGCCAGGCGTCAGTCAGGCGACCGAAACAGCGCTGCGTCGCGTGTGGCAGCTCGCACGTCTCCCCACTGCGGTCGCCGGTGCGGAGAACGTAAGTGCAGGGACCAGCACCCCCAGACCTCCGACGCCCAGCGTACCACTCACGAAGCTGCTGGGGTGACAGAGACTCACGGGAGCGCGGCTGCTGCTGTCGCTGACCACCGCCAAAGCCTCTACGCTGCGCGGCTCCACCCCGGCCACCACCACCGCCGCTGCCACCTCCACCACCGCTGCCGCTGCCTTCAGCACCTCCACCACCGCCGCCACCCCCCCACTCCCGCCACCACCCCCACCTCCACCCCCACCCCCTCCGCCTCCTCCACCCCCACCACCGCCGCCCCCGCCACCACCCTTGCCCCCCTTGCCCTTGCCGCCGCCCTTGCCGCTGCTGCGCCTCCCACTAGGAGCAGTCGTAGCCCCGACCTCCTCGGTGCCAACGAGGTCGACAGCAGAAGCAAAGGCAACAGAGGGCAAAAGGGGAACGGGGGAACACCCCTCAAAGAACGGGGCGCGAGGGTCGCCGCGAGAAGCTCCTACATCGACTATGCTAGTCTCAGCTGCGAGGAGGTGCTTCTCAAGGAGGTCGACAGTGAGCGTGGTGGGGCAAAGAGAGAGGAAGTGGTCCCTGACTGAGCGAAGAGAGTCAGGGAGACGGGTGACGAGGTAGAAGAGGGTGATGTACATGGGGGGGGGGTTCTTGGCGCAAAACTCGGGGGGAAGCGCAGCGCAGTAGCGGGTGTCACTAGTGCGGAGGTGAGTGATGAGGTCAGCGACTGTGGGAAAGGCGGCTAGGTCAGGGAACAAGTACGGCTCCGTCCCTAGAGTCACACTGCAGATAGAGCTGCAGATCATCGACCCACACGTCGAAATCGACCGCACGACCCTCAGCATCAAAGGTAAGAACATGAGGGCTAGCCATGGCGACAGCAGCGGCAGTAGCAGCAGAAGCATCAGAAGCAGTAGCAGCAGCAGTAGCAGCAGAAGCAGCGCGGCTCAGTAGGGCAGGGCGGCGCGGCTCGGCAGAGTAGCGCTGCTCGGCAGAGCGGCGCGGCTCGGCTGGGCGGCGCGGCTCGGCTGCGCGGCTCGGCGGCGCGGCTCGGCTGCGCGCTTGTCGGGCAGGTGCGCGGGCAGCGCGGGTAGGGGAGGTGCTCACCAGGGGCAGGCTCTCGACAGGCGCGGGTAGGGCAGGCGCCTGACGGGCGGGCAGGGCAGGGCCGCGACGGCAGGTGTAGGCAGGGCCGCGACTGCTGCTGCAGGCAGGGCCGCAAGGGCGGCAGGGTAGGGCCGCAAAGGCGGCAAGGCAGAGCCGCGACAGCGGCTGCAGGAAGGGCCGCGACAGCGGCTGCAGGGCAGGGCCGCGACTGTGGCAGGGAAGGGCCGCGACGGCGGCTGCAGGAAGGGCCGCGACTGCGGCAGGGAAGGGCCGCGACGGCGGCTGCAGGAAGGGCCGCGACAGGGGCTGCAGGGAAGGGCCGCGACGGCGGCAAGGCAGGGCCGCGAAGGCGGCAGGCAGGGCCGCGACGGCGGCTGCAGGGCAGGGCCGCGATAGCGGCAGGGCCGCGAAGGCGGCAGGCAGGGCCGCGACGGCGGCTGCAGAGAAGGGCCGCGACGGCAGCAAGGCAGGGCCGCGACAGCGGCAGGGCAGGGCCGCGACGGCTGCAGGCAGGGCCGCGACGGCAAGGCAAGCGCAAGGGCGCAGGTGAGGTAGGCGCGAGGCGCGCGACAGGGCTGGCAGGCACGGGAGCGCGCTTCGGGCAGGTCAGAAAAAAACATTTCGTGGTGGGCCCAAAAAAAAAAAAAAAAAAAAAAAAACGGTCCCACTAGGGAACCTGCTCTATACCATGTGAGAATAGTACGAGTGAATGGAATGACTAGGAAGCAGGTGGGTACAAGTAGTGAACCTAAAAGTGATGTACCCTATACTGTCTACCCCACTACAGCCTACACAGACTATAGCATATGAGTTTGTCAGCATTTACGAATGAAAATATTATTACTAAAAAACAATGCCTTTCACTACTGCGACGGATAATTGGCAGTAATGTTCAATACAAAATGAACATAAATCCGACAGTGGATAAAATAAAGGACATAAATATAAGCGAGGGTCAATGATTCCTAAACAAGCTCGTCTAAAGCACCTGGTTGCCAATCATCACTCGTCCGGTTCACAACACAAGCGTGAAGTGAAAGGTGAGTGGTGGTGATGCACATGCACGTTGTGGGGGCACGAGTTGGGAGCGATGTGTGAAAACCCTGCATTGGGAAACGGGGGAGCGGACATGGGCAATGAGAAAAAATATGAGAGGAAATAGGGTAGGGATGGGAAGGGCAGAGATGGAAGGGAAGAGTGGGGCGGATAGAGGTGGAAAGGGAGTACAGGACAAGGGAGTGAAGGAATTAGAGGGCAAGGGAGGGAAAGGATGAGCAGAGAAGAGAGGGAAGGGAACGACAGGGCCAGCAGAGAGGGAAGGGAGGAGGGGCAAAGAGAGAGGGGCAGCGAGGGAGGGAAGGAGAGGCGAAGAGGGGGAAAGGAGGAAATGAGAAGGAAGGGAAGAAGGGAGAGGGGAGGGAAGAGAGGGTTCAAGGAGAGAAGGAGGGAAGGGAGTGGGAGGTGTGTGGGGATACGGGCGAAAAGAGTGAAGGGAGAGGAGGGGAGTGTTTGAAAATTAGGTTACGGAGGGAAAAGAGGAGGGAAGGAATGAGAGAAGAGGAAAGGAGAAAACTGGGCAAGAACAGAACGGAGGAGATAAGGAAAATGGGGAAGGGAGGGGAAGGGAAGAGAGGGCAGGGAGGATTCAGGCACTTCACGCGACAGGAGGGTAGGGGCAGAAGGAGAAGGGAGGAAAGGAGACGAGAGGCAAGGGAGGAGTGGGGAAGAGGGGAAACCATTGGGGAAAACGGGAAGGGAGAGGGAGGGAAGGGAGGCATGGGAGAGGGATGGGAGGAGAGGTGCGGAGAATGAAGGAGTGGGGCTGAGAGTGAGGGAAGAGGGACGGAGGGCGTGGGAAGGAAATCGGAGACTCAAGGGGGAAGTGGGTGAGCGATGGGTGTGAGTGAGCGATGGGTGTGGGTGAGCGATGGGTGTGAGTGAGCGATGGGTGTGAGTGAGCGATGGGTGTGGGTTGGAACTGCGAGATGGGAAGGGAGAAGCCCCGAGTAGGGAAGGGGGAAACTGCGCGTAGGGAAGGGGGGAAATTGCGCGTACGAAAAGGGGAAACCGCGCGTAGGGAAGGGGGAAACTGCGCGTAGGAAAGGGGGAAACTGCGTGTAGGAAAGGGGGAAATTGCGCGTAAGAAACGGGGGGAATTGCGCGGAGCAGAGGGGAAACTGCGCATAGGGAAAGGGGGAAACTGCGCGTAGGGAAAGGGGGGGAATGCGCTCATGGAAGGGGGGAAAACGCGCGTAGGGAAAGGGGGGGAATTCGCGTAGGGAAAGGGGGGGAATGCGCATATGGAAGGGGGGAATATGCGCGGAGTGAAAGGGGGGAAATGCCCGTAGGGAAATGGGGGGAATGCGCGTAGGGAGGCGGGGTGGCTGCACGTAGGGAAGGGGGAGAGGAAAGAGGGCAGGAAGGCGAGAGGCGGAAAGGGACGGGACGGACCGAAGGGAAGAGAGCGACGTGGGCGACGGGAGGGACAGGTGGGACGGGAGGGACGTGAGGGACGCGAAGAGAGACGGGAGGGACGGTAGGAGCGGGAGCGAAAGGAGGAGCGGGAGCGACGGGAGGTGCGAGAGCGGCGGGAGGAGTGCGAGCGGGAGCGACGGGAGGAGCGGGAGCGACGGGATGGAAAAGCGTGGGCGACACTCAGAGAAAGCATGGGCGAGGGAAAGAAGCGCCTTGAAAAATGCGACGGGAGGGGAAGTGTAATCGCTACCGCGGCGAATAGACCATCACGTACCGGGTCGAGTCCGTTGACTATATATGATATGGTTGTCGCGCTTGCGGTTCTAGTGACGTGTAGGGTGCTTGTGACGGTGGCGATGGTGCTCGTAAAATATTCGCGCTCATCGCATGATGCGGGCCATCAGATTGAGTGAGACGGGTTGGACGATAATGACCGATACATCACATCTAAGGAAGACTAAGCCTACCTGGGTGACGCGTAGTTATTCAGGGGCTAGACAACCTATTCCAAGTAGGTAGGCGGTCGTGAAGGGGAGGGAGCAACGGATTAGGCTTACTATGTCGGAGGAAGGGAGTGAAGCTTCTAACGGGAACAACGAGAAGGACTAGAGTTACGGAATGGACGGGCGGGACTGCGTGTGCTGGGAGAGAACTACGATAGTTTACGCTATGGAGCCTCCTAGGTATCGAGTCTTTTTTTTTTTTTTTTTTTTTTTTGAAGGAGGTGAAATTACATTATACAATGCAAAAAACACACTCCACGGTTGTAACCGGGCTAGAGGGCCTAGGTACAATCGTATCGTACCCTCGCAAAAACCTCTACGGTGGTTTAAAGGCCAGGTGCCTAAAAATTGCAACCTGCCTGCTCAAAGTTCCCTTCACGCCTTTGACATATCTCACACCTGGCAGAAACACCTTGGCACATCCCACATGCTGTAATTGTTGCTTTGGCTTTGGCAGGCTGGCGCCGAACCTGCCTTGTCGAAAGTGGTAGGTCGGGGTGATTGCACTCTTGACCTGCTTGAGGCGAGTGACGGGAGGAGCGGTTGCTGTGAATGTCACTTCAGTGAGAATGCGGTGAAAGCCGGTTCCAATGTCACTTCTGATCGGACGTTTGGGGTGACGCAAACTGACTCGAACGACTCCAAATCTTCGACGGGAAAACAGACGATGTAATGTCGGAGCAGCAGATGGAGCTGCTACCTCAGATCTGGTTTTCTCTCCATGAAACAAGTTGCCTTCAAGAAAATTTCCAGCTCCCACAGACGGGAACTCCATGAATCATTATCTTCCAGCTGCAGATGCGCATCTTGTAGTTTAATAGCGTTTCCAAAGTCAGCCATGTTTGCATGAGTTTCAGGGTCAGCGTCATTGTCAACGTTGTCTTCTAGTTGAACATAAAAACCTTGGAGTTTCTTGCTTAGATCTTCATGCTTAAGCGTTTCAGGAGGGAAAGCGTCTTCATCATCAAACACTTTAGTCGCCATGGGAGTAAAGATCTTGGACTTTTCATGAGGTAAACATTGTTGTCGATGAATGGCAGCAAATGAAGATAAACGGAAGATATTCCGTTGACAAACTTGTTTGAACTTGAGTTTTCCGCGATGTCTATGACCAGCAATGCTTTTCTGATGCCATCTTTGGTAAAGACTTGAAATTTGTTCAGCCATTGTATTCTTCGTCGGAACAACTTAAGCAATGTCTGAAGTTTGAAAGTATTCAAACTGAAACCACGGGAACTTTAAGAAGCAGATTCGATGAACCAATGTCCGCTGTGAGTCTATTATGGTGATAGTTGGCTTCAAGTTTCCGGAAGTATGAACAGCGACCCGTTCGTTTGGTTTCTGTGCGAAAGTGTTGATCGTTTTGCCAGGGTTGGTTTCAACCAATCAGAAACTCACCGTTGGAAACAAACTCTTAGGGTCGCGAGGGGGTGCAAGGCCCAAACCGGGTTACCTGGGTATTTGCAATTTCTACTTCAAGAATCTTGAACTTGAACACTTACCATTCTAGACTCGGACTTTAAGCAACCCAAAGGCATTGCACATGTTCCTCCCCCTCCTCTTGAACCTCCTTCTCCCGACGCCCCTCCCTTCCAGAGTCTCTTCCCAATCCCCCTTTAGCCCCAATTTATGATAACAACCTGGATTGATGGGTGCACAATTTTAATCCATACAACAAGCTTCATGACACCTATACCATCAAATGTGAGGCGTATCGTGCTACTGATAAAACACATAATGACACTACTACGCGCATTCTCACCTACAAACAAGATGAAAACGACTATGCTGACGATCTTTGCAAACTCTACAAGAAGGTTGCGTCTTGGCGTGTCGTGGATCGCCGTGCTCTCGCCATCATGTTCTCGTGCATCCCCTCCCACCTCAAACAAGACCCCCTCCCCACCTCCTCCCCTGGCCTCTGGAAGACTTTGTCTACATATTACGGTCGACATGACCTCCGCTCCCTCCTCGCTCTTTTTTTTCGCAAATTCCAAGACACCACCCTTGACTCCTCCCCCACTGCTGATGCCTTCACTCGCCGCCTCATTGAGACAGCACAATGTTTTAACGGCCGCGTCATCATCATTCATTAATCTCTTCTCACGGCACGCATTCTCGACCGCCTCCCACCCACATACGACACCTGTCGCATCGCCTTCCCCTCACGCTTCCGCCATCCTCCTTACGTGACTTTTAGACAATGAAGCTGACATCTTTCGTGACTCCACCACTGTTAATGCTGCTCAGACTAGCAACCATAGTAGCAATGGAGGTGGTGGTGGGGGGGGGGAGGGGGGGGGTGGCAACACTGGCGGCACTCGTGGTGGTGGTAGTGGTGGACGAGGGGGCAAGCGAGGCGGGGGAGGGGTGGCGGTCGCGGTGGCGGTCGCGGTGGCGGCCGTGGTGGTCGAGGCGAGAAATATTCTGTTTCAGGTACCCTCATCCCGTGTAAGTACATCATCCGATATGGCTCCAACAAAGGGCGACCTTTCTCCAACAATGGGCAGCCTTGCTCCAAAACCAACCACATCATTGACACGTGCTTCAAAGCCCTCAATGATAAGTGGTTTGCACGTGGCAACTTCGACACCCCACCACGTTGGAACGGTGTCTTCCCTCGCCCCTCTCTCCATGACGTACACACTCTCCTCGCCCACCAACCTCCACCCCCAATCTCCACAATGTCATCATTCAGCACCTCCTCCCTTCATCCGCTCCCACTCCCACCCCTCTCACCTCCCCTCCGCCCACATCTCCGCCTCAAACCCCTCCCTCCCACCCCCATTACCTCCACCTTACCCTAGCTGGCCATACCCCCCCTACCCACCACCTGCATATGGTCATGGCTCTCTTGCATCCACTGCCAATCTTGCTGAGCAACCCTCCTAACCAACCCACTTGACTTCACCCTATTTCCCTTTATGACATACTAGTTTCGTTTCTCTTGCCACTTCTTTGTATGCTCATGCTATTCCACATCTTCCTCCTCCTCTACAACCTTTGAGTTTATTATTGACAGTGGAGCCACCCACACCATCCCTCGTGACGCAGACAAACTCCTCCCCCTCTCCACTCCATCCACCACCTACGGAGCTGACTCCAGCTTCACCATCACTGGTCGTCACACCTCCACTCTCCCCTGTCCTATCTTTCTCTCAAGTTCCATCACAGGTCTTCACGTCCCCTCATTGTGCAACAATCTGGTATCATGGTGCCTTTCAAAGGTCAGGTGTCACCACCGTCTTCCCCAGTCATGCATCCTACTGCGATATCTATCAAGTCCCCACCGATCGCTTCATCTCTCGCATCCCCCGCTGTCCCTCCACCCACATGTACACATATCACACCCCTCGACCCTCTATACACCAACTCACCACTCCCACCTCCCTTCCCCCCCTTCCCCTCCCCCCCCTCTCCTCCCTGATCCTTCCCTTGCCTCCTGTTACTCCCGTGACCTCACCCACTCAGCCATTCTCCTCCACCATCGTCTAGGTTATTCTAACTTTACCAACCTTAGCCAATCTGTCACATCTTACCTTCTTAATGGACTTCCCTACGCCCTTCTCCCCTCTCCTCCCGTTGCCCTCTCCTCTCTACTCAGTATGTGTTGAAAGAAAACTGAAGCAAGTCCCCCACAAGATTCTTCCCTCCTTTTCTCCCCAGCCCATCCTCGTCAACATGGACCTCTTGGGCCTTAATCCCTCCTCCTCCAAGCGGGGTCATTGTTACCTGCTTATGCTGGATGATGACCAATGTCGATACTCCACCGTCTCACTCTTTTGTACGAAGGCAGAGATCGTGGCTACCATCATTGCCAAGGCTGATTAGGCGCGTACCCACTTCGGTCACCCTGTCTCCTGATTCCATTCTGATGGCGGTGGTGAGTTCCTTAACCGCACACTCGCCTCATACTACACATCCCATGGCATTAGCCATATATATACTCTCACTCACTCCCCTCAGCAGAATGGCGTGGTAGGGAGCAGGGTCCGGGAGATCACCAAGATCACCTGGTGTCTCCAGGTCCAAGCCCCATGCCCACCTTCTCTTTTGGGATATGTCATCCTCCATTCTGCCACCCTCACTAGCCTTCCCATCCTTCCCAACCCACCACCACCGCAGCTGAACACCGGACTTCCAACAAGCCCGACATATCCCCCTCGCGCGTGTGGGGCTCTAAGGCGTATGTTCTCATACACCCTGGGAATTGCTCACATGTAGCTGGGATGCTTGACTCCCCCACCCTCCCCTGTATCTTCCTTGGACACAACATTGATTCCGGTGACCACCTCTTCCCCCACCCACCTTTCAGGTCGCCCCATTTATAGTGAGGATGTGTTTTTTTATGAAGCCACACCATATTACACCTCCCCTTCTGACCCTGACCCCCTCCCCACTGTCTCCCTTCCCCCTCTCCCCTCGCTTCCCCTTCTCCCCCCCCCCCCCTCCCTCCTCCCCGGCCTCCTCAGGTGACATCCTTGACCCGACCCTCCCTCCCTCTCCTTCCGCTGCCCCTCCCCTCCTCCCCCGTCCCCATCCCCTCCCCCTCCCCTAAACCCTCTCCCTTCCCCCTCCCCCTCCCCCTCCACCACCCCATCCCATGCTTCCCTCTCCTCCTCCGGACATAATAACACCCTAAGGTCTTATGATAACCACATAGAAAAAATAGAGAGGGGGGTCTTAACAACGGAAATAATCTTATAACACCCGGGTATTTTCATATGGCATAGAAGTTTAGAAGTGTTTTGAACGCTACAATTA